AATTAATTTTATTCCATATTAATTAATTAATTAGGAGAATAAAATTCCTACTAGAATCTTCTCTTGGGATTAGGAGACTTGGGAGTCTTCTAGTAGATGAAGATTAGTGGGGAATATATTTCCTACATTATATTATTAATTGGAGTAAAATTAGGTTTCTTAAATTAGGATTTAATTCTATTCCATGATTATTAATTTAATTAGGAAAGGAAATTCCTACAAGGATCTTCCCTAGTGTTAGGAGACTTAGGAGTCTTCTAGAAGAGAGGGATTAGTAGGAGATCTCCTTCCTAGATTGAGTTAGTATTGGATTAGAATTAGGAGTCCTAGGCCTAATGGAATATGCCCATATTTAGCATCTCCTTAAGGTCCCTAATGAAGCCTATAAATACACCATGTCCCAACCTCTCATACAATGTTGTCTTGGCCGAATTTCTCATCTACATACACGTGAGAATTGCATTTTTCGAGAGTTAGGGAGATCCGATTAAACGCTCCACCAAGTTTAATCGGAATAGGTGTTTAGGTAATCCGTTAGAAGGCTTTTTGGTACAATTGATTGAGCTTTCTAATATATATATATTCGGTCATCATCTCCATCGTGTCACCACCGTCCTCCGCCGTGAACCACCGTCGGAGATCTTCAGCCGCTGCCAGAAGTCATCCGAGCCCAGCCGATCGCAACCGCGAGTCGTTGCACGCCGTCGCGCATCAGCCAGGCCCGACGCCAACTCCCAGCAGCGTCCGCGAGCGACTCCCGTGAGGTCCCAGCTGCACCTGCTCGTCGAAGATCACTCGCGCATCTCACCAGTCGCCGTCTGCGCATCCTCAGCGCACCAGTGCAATGCGCGCGACCGTCCGCGAACATTCCTGCTGCCTTGCTCCGCACGCTGCGTGTTCCCAGACGCCCAGCGCTAGTCCGCATCGGCATAGGAGAAGTGCACCGCGTGTACGCACACGCCCGGCATCCACCCGCGCATCGCCAGCAGTCCCGCGCGTCTCGCCAGCGTCCGTCCGC